GTCTGCCATTTACATAATTCCATATTTTAACTTAGTAATAGTCTGTCTGTGCACCAAAGAATATGGCCTGTTTATATGACATTAATTACAAATGATTAGAGATGTATTTTTCTCTCCATTATTCACCTGAACCTGATGTTATAGGCCATGGGTCAGAATTCACAGCTCTTGGGGATAAGGGGGTGGTTTCAAATTGACTCACACACTGTCCCTGCTGAATATTTGAACTAATTACCAACCAGAACCAGCTTCATATAAGCATCTGAGTTTTAAGCTTTAAAATTAGAAGCTCTTTAAAGAAAGTAAGCTTAAATGAGAAGACCTGACATTGCTATACTTACATTCTTAGGGAACAGCACATATCTTGATTTTCAGACAGAGAATGAATTTTCCAATTTGCCACAGACCCTACTATTCTATATCATAGTTCTGATTAAGCTCCCTTCACTTTTAATACAGTCTGCCTGGCTCATGTGAATTCACAATCTTGGATCTAAATCTTTCAAAATGGATTATTTTTTTTTAGATAGTTTTTCCAAATGGTTTCCCTACCATATAAATTACCAATAAATAAAGCCCATCTTCACATGTTTTAATACTCACAAAGAATTTTCATTTTCATACAGCCCATCCATCCAGTTATATTATGTGCTAGGAAAGGTATATATCATTTGTACCATTTTATAGATGAGAGAAAGGTATATATCATTTGTACCATTTTATAGATGTCTTCTGATAACTGATTGTCCAACTTGTCCAAACTACAGGGTCACACCCAATTCTTATATTCTGGAATTTGGCAAATAGGTTTACTCTCTTAAGACTTCCAATCCTGTCTCTCATATTTGCTTAGCATTTTTTTCCCACTTCATACTATCCCTGGACACTAAACTCTGCCCCTCCAAGCTCAGCCCACCCCTACCCACCTCCCTACCCGCTGGCCACCTTCAATTGATTCTTTAGCTCCCAGCTGAAAATCCACATCTGAAGGAAACTCTCAGATAGGCCCCAAGACTTGGGGAGAGCTCCATATCAGTTCCACCAGTTCCACTCTCTACTCATTTTGTCACATGCTTAACACTAGATGAATTGTCTTCTCTGTCTGGATCACAGGTGCTACAGGATAGGAAATAAGTGATTCTCCTTCACTGCTGTTTCTAATCTTTGTAAGAACATGTCAAAGTGTAATGCCAAGGTTTTGGCTTTGTTTGTAAAAGCAGTGTTTTAATTGTATCCATCTATATTAATTTGGAAAAAAAACAAAAAACAGTGGCTGGTATTTATGCAGCACTATGGGCCACATCTTCAGCTAGACATTCAGATGTCTTTATTCATGTCAAAACTATAGGACTCTGGATGGGGATCATGTCTTTACAAAAAATAGAAGACTGAGACTTAAATTTGTTGCTTTCATGACATACATATATGTAAGGAAATGCTACCTTCACACTTTAGCTGACATTTTCCATTGTTTGGGTCTACCTTACCAATGACCCTTAAATCTTGTCTGGCCTCTCCCCATGTCTCTCTTGCAGCCAAGCATGATCAGGAGCCTATTTGGCTCATTTGGGTGGTGTTTTCTCTCCTCCACTGTTAACTCTTTTTCGTTGTTGATCTTGTCTAGTTTGCCAGTTAGCAATGTGTAGGTACAGCCTTTATCACTCAAATTTCTCTAATTTATTTTTTATAAGCTCACTTTTTACCTGGATTCTTTAAAAGTGATATTTCAAAACATCCTCTAACATCCTTTCAGATTTCTTTCTCATTTTCATTTTTTTTAAACAAAAGCCTCCATTTTGTTAATGCCTCACAGCTAAAATAGAATATAACTTTATTTTTAAAAATAAAATGCTATTTTAACTGTGTCTGGTTTGTTTTATAGGCCCTTAAAGGCAAGGCTAAAGTCCTATTTAATAATTAGTTCATTAGCTACTGGTGGATTTCGTTATAGGGAAAGAAGGAAATAAAAATAATCAGCAGATGTTGAGTTTCTGAAACTAGAAGGAAGCTACTGGCAATAAACATGGCAAAGATAGTGGGGAGAACTGGAAAGCATCAATCAAATTTTGCTTTTAGCCACTTTTAACTTTTAGCTACTGTCATATATAAGGAACAAGATGTGGCGAAGCAAGGAAACAATATAAAAAATTCCACAAAAACTGTAGTTCCACAGAAAGGCTGAGAGGGAATTCCAAGAAAACAGGTCACAATGAAAAAAGAAAAGCCACATTGTGTAAACATATTGGTATACGTCTTACTTTTACTAAATTTAAAACTCTCATTTATTTTTCCAGTTCTAGGATAATGTCACCTGTTTTGTGAAGCAATTCCTGACTTCCTACATTATTGGTCCTTTGTTTGTTACAATGTTTTCAATCTCTCTCTCCATCCCTGTGTCTCCAAGACCAGACTAGAAACTTTGGAGGCGGAACTAAGTCTTCATAATCTTATTTTTAAGGTGGGATTTCCCACACCATGAATATCCAAACATCAACAATTACATTAAATTTGAAGAACAGATTAGTACATCAAAGCAGGATATTGCTTACAACAAGAATGGAGCTTCATTTGAAGTTCAGGGTTCTAAGGTCACCAATGTTATGTTCTGCAAAAGGATGCATAACAAGGACAAAGGAGTCTCTGTACTTTCTGCCATTATTTCACATTCTCTACTAAATGCAGAAAAGGTTCTACATTGACATAGTTATAACAGTTACAATGCAATGATTGGTCCAAACAGAGCCTTTAATCCAGCATCTCTTCCTTGAAAAGTGCAATCAAGATTAACCTAACTGGGACTAATCCTAACTGGGGATGCTCTATTCTAAACAGCACTGATGTGTGTGGGGGATCAGGAATGAGGCAAAAATGAAGTTTTGTGTTGAAATTCAATTTGGAATATGATGTTGTTAAATAAACATCAAAAATGGCAACCTTGACATTTTGTTTATTAAGCCTTTCTCTCTCATCTATTTCCTGCAGACACTTCTGCAGATGGACTCAGAGATAGGCACCTGTGCAGACCCTGTTCTCCCCTGGGAAACATGTGCTCGCTGTTTTTCATGCCATTCTATTTCCAGAATTGCTTTCAGGAACACTGAAATAGTGACTGCTGTTAAGCTCACTGCTCTGCCCAGCCAGAAGAAGCAGGTGAAAAGCATTTCTCTAGTACTGTGGAAACTAACCAGGCATGTTTGCTTGGCTGGCTTTGTTATCAAGTTTCTTTTAATTTCTTTAACCTACTTGGATGCAGCAGGAGAGAATTTTAATTAATAAACACAACAATGAGACTGTCCTCCAGAGAGAGAGAGAGCCATATACCTGCAGTATGGTACTATCTCTATTATATCAAATAAGCTCATTTCCAGTGGTCTACATTTCTTGGCTATGTAGGTTAAGCAAGGATAGGCTTTCAAATAATACAAGTATTCCATACAAAATTAATTTGATTCCTATGGGGATATTGTTAAGACATTCTATTTAACTTTGGTGAGATTAAAAAATACACTGAAAAAGAGGGCTATGACTTTTAACTTTTTCTGTGTTTTAACATATTTCCAACCTGAGTATTGAGCAAGGTCTCACTGGTAAATACTGAAATTAAATCTTTTAAATGTATGGCCGCAAGATGTCTGTTCATGAGTGAGGACAGCCTGGTCTGCAGCTCTCTTTGCATCCCAGAGCTGGAGTGGTGCTCCTGGAAGCACCGGCTGGGAGACAGCAGCTTTGTTATGTGGCTACCGTGAGATAAAGCAGAAACTGGGAGCCAGTGTGCAGAAGTGCCTGCAGCAATGTGACAGGGTCATTTCATATTTGTGGAATCTAATAATAAAGAATTGAGTTTGTGTTTTGCATGTCTTTTTTAATTTTATTTTTCCAGTAATTCAATTTTACTCTCTTTTATGAAAGGATCAATCCACAACAGATTGTAATTTAGGAGCAGGGGTGTCCTTTTGGAGGGGAGCACTGAGCAACGCAGTGTAGCCTTGTGTGCGGGGTCAGGTAACCTGATAGCATGGGATGCAATGAGTTTCTTCAACAATGATAAGGAGGTAAGACTAGTGTCACAAGGTTGCTGTAAGGATCAGGTAACAGGGTAAAGGGGGTAGCCCGGTGCCTATTCCATGTTTAGCAAAACGCAAAGTTAGCAGTTGCTATGAAAGTGTTTTGCACATAGTAGGTACTCAATAGATATTAGGTCTTTTTTCTCACTTGTGTAGAAGAGCCTGAAAATGCTATGTCTCTCAGCCTCCACCCATATATCTGAATCACCTGAGGGCACCTCAACCTGACCTTGCTATATACAGGTGCTCTAGAGAATGTCTGGATCCTCTGACAGCACATGGATCTACCCCATCAGTTGGGGCCCCTTCTGTTTTCCAGCGGACATTTCTCCTCCTATATTTTCATCTAGGAATATTCTTTTCTGGGCTGTGTCTGCAGTAAATGATGTAATGCTGGCAGAAGGCAACTAACAGTGATATCCCAAGAATGCAAAGAAGATCTATTGCAGGTCATGGGGAGGGGGATGTCAAAAGGCGATCATTTACTCTCTTCTTTTAGAAAAATACTAAACATAATATGTCTCTTCATGCCCTCCTTTTAAAATTGCTTTTAAAATGTGGTAGTTATAATACAAAAAAGAAGACAAAAAAACGTGTACGCCATTTTTGAGTTTACAAAACACTTTGACTGGCTTCTCACACCACTACAGCAGACACTCCTATTCCACTTCATTGACAAACTCAGGTATTGAATGACTTTCCAAGTATACATTGCTAGTGGAGGCATATCTTAAACTTGAATCCAGTCCTTGAAATCCTGAAGTCTGTGCACAGCAAAATACAGGTAGAGTTACACAAAAAGAGGAATATTTTAGGAGACTGTGTCAGAATAATAATTTGATGTCTGAAAAACTTCAAATCATGAATAAAGGCCTTTGTGAAGGAAATACAATGGGCAACCAAGAATGAAAATATGGATGGGATATGGATTAAAAAAATGGATGTATATCCAAAAATAAGGAAGAATATTAGGAAACAATGTTCAAAGGGCTACAGCTTGTGGTTTAATGCAAACTATATTCAAGACTCACAGACATGTGGGCAAGAAAATGGAAAAGCTGACAGACATTCCCAAATGGCTCTAGGCTTAGAGAGAGAGGAAGCCTTTGAGGATGTCAGACAACCCCCAGGAGAGCCCCAGCAGGCAGCTTCAGCAGAACTAACCTTACCCTTGGCCCAGTTAACCATTCCCACTCTGGGGACAGCCACAGAAGATAAGGGGCGGATCACACTCAAATTTCTCCAGCTGCTTTGGGGATGCTTAAATCTCATCAGTTCAGTATTTGACCCTGGATAAGAGGTCAGTGACCTTTACAAGAACAACACCCCAAAATGTTCTCAGTCACTCAGAACTTCGTGTGGATAAATTTCAGGTCCTTCTTGAAAGCTGGTTGAACCAGCCAAGGGAAGAAGAGAGGCAGGCTCCTATGCATTCAATGGGAGTAAAAAGAGAATGTGCAAATTCTCAATAAAAGCTGGCAATGCTGAGAGCAGATATTGCCCTTTTACAATTGTGCCCAAGTTTAGCCGTATTTCTCTGAATCATGCATCATATGGAAAAACTGTGTATATGGGGCATGTAAGTATTGCTCTGACCTGTAATAAATAATTGTAATGCTAAAGATCACTGGTAATATTTACTGGTCTCTTAGCATATGCCAAGCCTCCACCCGCCCCCCCCCAGCTTTATACTCATTTCTCTGTTTCATCTTTACAGCAACCCATTGGGAGTGGGTATGATTGCTTTCCACATTTTATAGCGAAAGATGAGGGATAGAAACGGTTTATGCAGTTAGTAAGTGGGGGAGCAGAAATTGAAACCAGTCAATCCAATTCCAGCTTAATCACTACGTGCGCACACTATACTTAAGCTGCAATGTTTTCATCACACACACACACACCAATATTCTAGACCCTGTAGCAAAGAAATTAGAGCTCCTTAGCCTCTGAGCTGTTAATCTTCTGACTTAACTAACACCACATACATAAAAACAGGGCTGAGAAGGAAAAAAGACAGTAGGCTTATGCTCAGAAAAGATGGGAGCCAAGGAGGGAAAGGGTTTAAATCTTAATGGGGGGAGCCTCAGGCAAAAGTAGAAATGGAAAACAAAGACAAATCTTCTATATCTCTGAAAACAAAGAAAATGAAACTTTCTAAAATTTAAAGACTTGCTTAGAGGGTCAGAAAAATTAACAAATTTGATGGGGCTTTTTGCTAAATTCTGACAATGATGGTCAACATCTAGTCCTTCAAATATGAAGATATCAAATAATTATGGTAATTTACAGGTCACCTGTAGAGTGCCAGTTCATCTAGCTCCCCTTACATTTCCCTATTTCTGTGCTTTTCAAACTTGAATAGGAGGATCCAGAACATGTGAGAGCACTGGGATGAGTAGTAAGTAATCCTGGTAGAAGCTTAAGAAATTCTCTGAGCTGGTGTTACTTAGGAATGAATGCTCTGAGCCATAAATGGCAAAGGTGGCACACCCATCTCAAACAGCAGTTGTACTCAAAGGTAAGCAAATTAAAACTCTTTCAATAATGAACTAAGTATGATACATATTGGAACTGAATGTAAAATGTGTGTGAATTTCTAAGCTCAACTCAAAACTTCGAATTAAAAATGCACTTGCCTTGATACCTGTTTTGGCAACAGCCGCTCCCACCTCAGACGGCTTGGGGTGTCCTTTTTCTCATCGCTACCATTTTTATTACTCAGTTTAAAGGTCTGGACAAGTCTATGCCTATGAATATGTGTTTGTACCCATTAAACGAGATCATGGATCATCAACATTCATATTTAAAAATGAATTCTTTTTGTTGTATTAGCGAGAAATGGTGTATTCTTCTCTTTAGTCTATTAACAGACAACATTGGAGACCCCTAAAACTCACAATGGCTGAAGGATAACTTCCTTCTTCCCTCTGTCCTTCCTGTGACAATATATTGCAACTCACAGTTCATGCAATTATTGAATCCAACAACAAAGACATTTTATTTGCCAACATTTTTTCATTTACCAACTTAGGAAAAGAGACACACAAAATAGTCCTCATCCCTCACACTTTTGCTCCTTCCTCCAACCACTATTAACCTGCAGAAGGGTTTTGAAAATCAAAAAATGCTAATTAAACAGGTAAGGTCTGTGCTAGTAGAAACCAGGTCTTGTAGTGCTCTTAAGTGCAATGGAGATCAGCCGTGTCGAGCTTTTGAAAGAATCTGGCTGTATCCACAGCAGTGCTGCTTGAGTCAAGCAGAGAAGTCCAGGTAACTGAAAAATTTTGGACTTATTGACTCTGAAACTTTCTTGAGAAAAGAAATGAGTATCTGAGATTCCTCATGGGCCCCACGGGACATTTATAAGTAGAAAATCTTCGTCAACTTGAAACTACATTGGCTAAAGAATTTGTCTAACTGTTAAAATAACAGGGAACCTCATACTTTTAAAAAGGTTCTATATACAGACAGGGCACAGGCATTCACTGGCTTTTAGTTATTTGTGTTTGTTATACATTTTGCTAAAACTTCAAAGAAAATGTTATTTTATTTTCTATTGTTTATCAGCTTTTGATCCTGTTTGATAAAAATATCCAGAGAATGCCATATTAATTAACACAAAACAAACTATAAAGTTACATTCTATGGTAAGATAGTGTGCATTTAGGTTCCAACTCCAGTGAAATAAGAGGCTTTATAAAAATTAATTTCAACATATGGCATATGGGCACTAACTGAAGAATATTTTGAATTTTTCAATAATCTGACACTTCTTAGAAATTTAGTCTTGTAATATTAAATATTTATAACATTCATTGCTCTTAATTGACTCTTGTATAGTAATCTTAAGCTTACTTTAAAATACATTCAATAGGAATGCAAACTGTTATTATTACATTATTCATCTTGATTTCTCTCTTTCTGTTCCCTAAGCTCTCCTTGGAAAGAACGTGAGAAAAAGGCATCCAATCTGGTAGAGTAACAGGTCAAAAAGTCAAGGATCAATATAGGGATGTACTTTAGGATATTTGTGAATTAACTTAAGTTTCATAAAATAATTAAGGAGGTTTATACTTACCACTTAGAAAATAGTAAGCAAATTAACAGAACACAGTGAAATCAATTCTCAATTTCTTGTTCTAACAGAAGCAAAAAAGAGCTTGTAAAATGTGTTGTTTGAGGAACTTCATAAATATCTATATTTGATGGAAATTTTCATGCTACATCTTTAGTTTCTGGTAACCCAGGAGCTATTATTAAAACTCTTTGGAATTCTTCCGCTGAATCTTACTTAGGCAGGGGAAGGATGTAGCCCAATAGCAGGCTGGGTTGAAGGGAATATCCATTTGGATTGACAAAAATCCACCATAGTTAATCCTCGAAAGTGAAATTTCTGCATCAAAGAGTTGCTGGGTATTTGATTAAATACCCCAGGTATTTGTTCCCCAACCTACTTTCGTTTTTCCTCCCCAACTGGCAAGCAAGAGAAACTAGACCAAGAACCTGAAGAAACAAAGTCTGTTCTTTAATATAAAAATGCTTTTACCTTCCATGCCTGCTGTGAACGAAATGGGCTGGGCTTTCAAAATGTTAGTCAGCTTAACTCCCAGTTGGTGGCACTGGGAAAAGGTGGCCATGCAGTCTTATTGCTCTGTTTTTGTTCCTTAACTGCCAACTGGAATACAATAGAAGAGTTAAGGGGCAGCAAGAGATGAATCCACAAAGAACCAGAAGGATAACAATAAAGCAAGCAAGAAAATGATAATGAGTCAAAGGCATTATGTTCCTCAAAGTTGGCATCCCTGAGTATTTTCACCTTGAAGATAATTATGCTTCAATTAATGGTCAGGTTTCCCTTCAGAAATTTATAATATTTTACAACCCACAAGTTATCTAGTAAACATTCATCTTTGCAATTTTAGGAAAATTCCTGATGTACTTTTAGCCCATGGAGAAAATGTCTATTGTTGTGTTGCCCAGAAACAAATAAGATTCGTTTTATATATTTAGTGAGATTTTGATATAAATATAAAGGATAGCAATGTTGAAAACACTAATCTTTTTGGACCACAAAAAAAGCACTTCACCACTTTGATGGATTAGAGCATGTATATCAAATAAAGAGGGCAATGTATTGGAGTATCTTTCTATATTTTATCTACAGAGATTCTACACTACATTTCTATATTGTATCTACAGACACCTCAGCTTTGCGTATGTCCAGTTCCACCATCATGTGTCCATTGTCTTTTGTTCTTCTCATGCAGACATTATATCATTAAGCAATAAACACAAGACTTCCACTTACCATAAAATCGTTATTTCCCATTTTAACTTTAGAACACTTCAAGGAATGCCACTCTTTGCTTTGTTCACATTTAAGAATTCACACATCAAAAGTTAGACCTCATGAAAGGTTAGAGAATAGTATCCTTTTTCCCCCATAAGAATTACAATGTACATAATTTATTTTTCAGTTAAATATGTTGCATGATACAATGAGTTATACTTTTCTAAGCTGGAAAGGATGAAAAAATAAAAATAATGTAATTTACACATAAATAAAATACATTAAATGGCTTTAGGTGCTTCATATTTGTCACACTGGGGACAAAAGTTTTATATTATCTGTCTCTGTGTTTAATAGATAAAAACGAACTTTCTTGGGTTTGGAATATGATAAATAAAATCAAATATAACCTCATTTTATGGAATATGATAAAATCTTACCTCATCAGATGGGATATCCAGAATGTTGCATTTTTCCTGTAATTTTATTAATAATGCAATAGCAGCTTCTAACAGATAGTTTTTCTTACAGAACATTGTCTTTTGGGTAATCAGAGTCAGAGGGTTAACTAGATGATCCAAAGTTAGAGTGCAAATTGTTAATGATTTTATTGTTGGTTCAGTCAGTCTGAAAGTGCAGGATAAGAAATAAAGAATAAGAATTTTCCACTGGCCAGCAAAAAGAAAAAATTAATACAGAGGTATTACTTCACATTGGTAACAAAACTTGCATTAAATTATATTTTAACTTTCTTATAATCTATTTTTGACCCCACAAAACAAGAGAACTCAAGTTACATCTACCCCAGACCTAGCAAAGTGGTAATGTGGCAATTTTCTACTTTGAGGCCAGAATTATCTCCCTGATCATCTCCTGTGCTCAAATTCATTATAAAAATGACCAATTTACCACCTCACTTCACAGGAGAAGACAATACTATACAATGTGGCTCCCACAGTAGAACCACCAAATGCTACCTGGGGACATACGTGTGTGAGTAACTGAAATTGTTCCAATTATTTTTTTGATTATCAAACATTTTCTGTAGTCCCCATGATCAGTTCCAAAAACATACACCTTGAAAGAAGAGTCATTAGCATATGTCATTTTCTACTGGTGGAAGCCAGCTCACAATAAATCTCTTACCTTGTAGAGAGATGGCACAGAGCAGCCTCATAATAGGATGAATAGTGCATAAAATACTCTTCAGCTTGCTTCCCCTGGGATTTACACTTCCCAACCTAGGAACACATCTGCCTGCATGGGTGGAATGCTAAGCAATGTGGTAAAACAACCAATGTGTTATGTATAGCTTTTCATTTTTGCGAAATCTAGAAGAAACCGTAAAATAAGTAAACAAATAAGCAAGTGTGTGTCTTAAAATCATGATACAGATCAGCAAGAAAAATACACAGTTTAAATAAAGAGGACTGTGATGGGCTCATATTTTTAAATATGGTTACATAAGTAATATGCCTTTTCTTAGAAGCTGAAGAACTGTTGCATTCTCGGTTATAGGTTTAAAGAAAACTATTTTATATTGTCTAACAGAATTATCCCAAAAGGAAATGACTCAATCTGAATTAAAGTAAATGTTAGTCAAAAAGTCAATCTTATTTATTTCAAAAGCACTCAAAGGAATAAAGGAAATAAATGAATTAAGAAAATTTTTTATGATCAAATTCTCATTCAATTTACTCATTTTTTAAAAAAAGCTATCACTAATTTTTTAAAGGTATAGCTTAAAATTAGACTTGTTTCCAGTCTAAATTTAACCTCAATTCCTTGTGTCATATTTCTTCAGGCATGAGAAGGAAAATCAATGTTCCCACTCACCTCTAGAAGAATTTCACCACCAAGTCTCCATGGTTCTATACGATCCAATAATCCGTGGGTCAGTAATGATTTTTCTGTGACACCTGTAGAAACAGCCTCTGCTTCCTTCTAACAAAATATAGCAACAAAAATTGTATAGTTTCTAAATGAATTAAACAGAAGCTATTAAGCACAACTTCATCCTGTAAGGAAATGTGGTTTGCATTTTCTAAAATACATTACTAGTGCTTGATTTTTCTGAGCTGTTTAACAACTTTTTAAAATGAATGTGAATACATATTTTTAAGATAATTTGAGTTTTCTTAGGTTTCTTATAGCTAGCATGCATTACATATGAAAAATAGCATTTACTTTCTAAGGCAATAAAATGACAACGCTTATCAAACTTCAGTGCCCAATTTAAAAGTATCTCCAAAATCAAGTCTTTTTAGATATGAAAAACTACAATCATGACTTTAAAATCTAAGTTCAGATAAGATAGAGAACTCTTCGAGACAGTGGAGTAAGGCACATCAAGTCCTAGGAAAAAGGTGAGGGGTGAAACAGTTGAGTGTATTGTAAAGAACTGAAGGTGTTGATGAACAGGCATGAGCCACCAACCTTCCCACTTGCCTTGATAAACATAAATGCAAAAAAGATAAAAAAAAAAAACAACCAATAGTCACGTGCCCAGCATTCTTCACACACCTGGTTTAAACCTCATAGGTATTTGCTTCCCCCTGGGCAGACTCCATGGGGCATTTCTGAATATAGTCCCTGCAGACAGTCACTCCATCAGCCTGGGGATCTGCAAAATAAAATATAGTGTTAAAATTTGGTTTTCCTTTTACCTCTGCTTTTCCAGTAAAATCCTAGAGAAGAAAACACAAAGCAGATTGTTTCCCACAATGCATGTGACACCTTGGCTAGTGATGTGGCCATGCTGCACTCTGGCAGGTATAGGGTTAAGACCTTACAGGTAGAAAGAAACTTGCAAGAACTGCCTCCCGGACACAGTTGAGGAAGCTCATGTTAAAACTGTGGTTTGATCGTCCCTTGATTAGCTTGCTCAACAATGAGTGCTACTGCTTTTCAAGTTCATTATAAATGACGGCATTCTTCACATTACTGTCAATTTCAGTTTTCGTTTCACTAAAGTGCAGGTATTTTACCGCTCATCAAACCTGTGTGCATTTTTGAGTTAAAAAATTAGATCAATCCAAACTGCAGTTCTCAAAGGAGAGGTTCCATTGTTTATCAGGCCATGTCTACACTGGCTGAGCAAAGCGCTCTGTTCAGAAGGAGAAGCGCCTTTGGCAGCTAGAGTCCACATAGCTGACCCATGGATGTTCGGGCAGGACTTCTTCACCTAATTACACAAAATGCAATGGGATGACTAAACATTTGATGTAAACGATCCATGATTTATCTGCATGGTAGTCAATCAGATTGCATGGTAGTCAATTCAAAATACCTATAAAAAATAGAAGATGCTTACACTTTACAGGCAACAGTGAACACAGGCATTGGAAGAGCTGATAATTCATCCTTTAGTTTCATCCAGATCATATTCTCTTTAAACAAGATAGTGGTGGTGTAATGTTAAAATGCAATACTCTTTCATAAGTGAAGCTAACAACTCTGGTTTTATATTCATGGGGAAAAGTCCTCAGAGTTCCAATAACTGAAAAGATGATTTTGCTCTCATGCACACAAGAAAAATGGGTCAAATGGTAATCTGCATTTTGGAGGAAATATTTACACTCTTCCAAGATGCACCATCAAGATTTAGTAACAACTGTGGGTGTATTCTATTTGGGGCCAGTACAATACCGTCATCTTGAACACTGAGATTCTTCCATGAATTTTTAGAATAAAAAGAGGTTTGGTGGAGAGGTTCTACTAATAGCTATGAAATTATGGCCTTCTTCCTCCATCCACCCTGTGAAATAATAGACACGGGTCTAATGACCTTTGGAATTTCTTCAGGTTTCTCCTCATTGGTGACCTGTCTTGAAAGAATAAAACCTTTCACACTCCCTTGTGTGGGTGCCCTTATAGGGTGTCAGGGAGCAACCATTTCAATGCAGGAGTGAAATTTAAATGTGTGAGAATCTATTAGAATGATGACTATATGTTACACTTCACCAATTTTACCCCAAAATAAATTTGTACACAAAAGTCTAAACCCCAATTTCTCTAAACATTGGGACAGCCCAGACAAGGGTATCTTATTTTTTTCTGCTCCCATCTTCATATGTTCCATAGTGGTCAGTCTCTTTTTCTCTACTTGTTAATGAAGCAATTGAGATGCTAAGTATTCTGTGCCTGGTTGTGAAATTTCACCTTCAGTCTGAGTGATGGCAATGTATTAGCTGACTGATTTAAAAATTGCACTCAAATTCTAAAATCAAAATTAATCGGGATAATCTAAGAATCAATTTAGCAAACTCTGTCTAAGATAAATCTAGAATTCTTTTCCTATATGAAAGCCCTGAGTGTCTAAATACACAACAACTAGTGATAACTTCTCCATACTGTGTTTGAGCACATACAGCAAACACCCTATGGTACCTACTGTGTGCTAGATGCTGTTCTAAATGTTTTATGTACACAAACTCATTTAATTCTCATGACAAGTCTCTAAAGTAGCTACTACTATCTCTCTTTTACAGATAAGAAATCAAGAGTCACAGCAGCAGCAAATAACTTGTCCCAAATCACATAATTACAGAGCTAAGATTTGAATCCAGGCAAGTTCATTCAAGAGTGTATAGTTTTATGTTTATTTCCCTTTCTTGGCCCAGTCAGGGTAACCAAACTGATGTGTTTTATGGATAGAGATTTATATCAAAAGGTGATTTCTTTACATTGGCTCACTCTTTCTTATATAAGTGGAATTAATATGTCTGGAACTAAAGCTTTATTCAATGAAATGGATCTGGCCATGAGGCTTATTTTCATCTGCTGCTTACTCACAGGCATTTTCTTTCAAATAGAGCCAGCATCTTTTTTCAGAATAAGTTAGATAAACTCAGAAGCAAAATTGATTCTCACTGATCATCGTTTCAAGATATTATTTACTCCTTTAAAATTTAAATTCTGAAAGATGTTTACTGAATATGTAAATTATAAGAAATGTAAGAATAAAAATTATTAAATGGGTCTACAAAATAGACATGGACCTAATTTCAGCCTCACGGAGCTGGGCCTCCGAGGTCCAATCCTGACACTATGTATTGTAAGTTGGACAATAATTTTATCTTTTAAGATTAAGTTTTCTCATCTATAAGAGGGAATAAATAAGTATCACCACTTACTGCTGTGAGGATTAAATAAACTTAACCATGTATAATGGCAGGTAGTAAGCACTCAATGAATGTACACGGTTATTACTGTCACACTTAGTTTAGAGTAGTCTTCGGCTGCAACCAAGCACTAACGATTAAAAGTTTTGCCATTTCATGACAAAGTATTTGAAAATATTAATACAGATTTCAGGAAAGTCAACTATGGTCACAGGAAACCCTTTCAGCCCGGGGACAGTTTGGATTTAACGGTTCACTGTGACACATCTGCCCAAATAATTGAATTTTCCTTTGTTTTGCAAGAACATGGGCAGGTCACCTAATAGCCCAGAACTACCTACAAAGTCATCAGTGCTTACAATATTGTCAGACACTTCCCCAAAGAACCAAAATAAGTTTCTCTACATGGTAAGGTTTTAAACAACATTAAAGTATTGTTTGCTTAATTGTTTGCCTTTATACCATAAACCACATTTCTACGCAGAGTAACTGAGGTGAAATTGACCTGGACAGCAGGGGATGCAATTTTAACAATCGTTCAATTCAACAGGAGTAAAACTATCCATATATAATGCCTGTCTGTTTTTTAATTTGTTCCCCTCTCTTTTCTAGCATTCTGAAAGCTGAAGGGTAAGGCTTAATAGGCCCAACTCTTTGAAACCACATGGGTGACTTAGAAATGTCTGTTTAGGAACCTGAAATAGAAATTTCCATTGCAAAGAGAGAGTAGCAAGTACTAGAAGAAAATGCCTTGCTGAATGCCCACTTGCACTGAGCTGTTTGGTAAGTGTTATACAAAGAAAAAGGAACAGATTGAAAGCTTTTTTTCTTTTCAGTTCTAAAAAGGATACAGTTGCCAGAGAGAGGAGAGAGGAGAGAGAGAGAGAGAGAGAGAGAGAGAGAGAGAGAGAGAGAGAGCGTGAAAAGCCGGGAGGCCCAGCAGGAGAATCACCGAGAAGCTATTCTAGGTAAAGCTCACACTTTTGCCTGGATATTCCCAGGATGCACTGAACCGTATTTTTGCCGTCTGGGTGCTCTGGGACTTGAGAAGTACTTGCTGGTCCCCAGGGGCCTGTAAGGAGGAGGGGAGCCTTTTCCTTATTTCCCAGTGCCTCAGGAAAAGCCTGTTCATTGGCAATCTTGAAGTGAAGTCACTATTGTCGTCTAAAGCAGTACTCAAGTCAAGAATTAAAGTTTTGAAGAAAGAGGTTTGTGTTCTGCCACAACCAGTCTAAAGAGAGCAGACAGGGCCTCCCTGGTAGCGCAAGGCGTTAAGATGCAACCTATGAAGTTATCTACAGCCTGGCCAGGGAGTTACCCATATGGCGCGGCAGACCTCTCCTGTCTCGCCCTCTGCTCCCTTCAAAAGTGTATGTCAGGGCCTCCCTGGTGGCGCAGCGGTTGAGCGTTGGGTTGCGAAGCTGCCCACAGCCTCTGCAGCGCCAGTTCGATCCCCGGCTGCTCTCCGGCTGCTCCCCGGCCACCAGAGGAGGGTCCCACATGGCGCGCAGACCTCTCCTGCTGCCCGCTGCTCCCCTCAGCAGTGTACTTCGGTCCTTCTGCCTGCTCTGCTCCCCGCTCTGGCTCTGGTGAATTCTCTCACCCTCCCACGCTTCTGACTGTACCCAGTGCGTGTATAAATAAATAAATAAATAAATAAATAAATAAATAAATAAATCTATCTTTAAAAAAAAAGGTGTATTTCAGTCAATCTGCCTATTCTGTTGCCCACTCTGTCTCTGGTGATTCCTCTCACCCCCCACACCTCTGGCCTGTACCCCAGTTCTTGTATGCATAAATAAATAAATCTTGAAAAAAATAATAAAGAGAGCAGACAGAAAAAGCAATGGTGAATCAAAGCACACAGGTCTCGATTTTAATCCAACATCTACCCCTGTCAGAGCCCCCCACCCTCAATATTCAGAAAGTACAGACTCAGAAACTTGGACCAACAGACTAACAGTTGAAATGAGATTTTAACAATCATCACCCTCCAGTGCTCTAGTTGAGGATGGTGTATACCTGAAACAGTACCTAAAGCATTATCTAGTGAGGGCAGTCCTAGGAAGGAAGAAGACGGTGGTGCAAATGTTAGCAAAGAAAACATTTTCTTGGTAGCAATTCAATTATTAGAAAGAAAATGGCCAAGCCAGGAAATATCACCACTGCTACTGGCAAGAGACAATACAAGAATTCATGACAGAGAATCACCTACCCAGATCACAGGCACCTGAGGCAGAGACACTGGTATTAGGGGTTCTGCAACTGGGCAGATGTGGAGATGGGCAACAGTGAGGAGCCATGTGGTGGGATGGGGTTATTTGAGATGAGGAGCCATCTGCTGCAAAGGAAATGGAATGTTCTAGAAACTTTGACAGAAAGTTTTCAGATTCTCTTTCTTTCTTTCTTTCTTTCTTTCTTTCTTTCTTGCTTGCTTGCTTGCTTGCTTGCTTGACTTTATTTTGTAGAGGTATAATTAACAATAATATTCTATCAGCTT